ATTCTGGCCAACAAATAGTTTCATCCATCAATTTGTTTATCACAGCATTTCCCACTTGATATATTACTATACATAGCGCTAATTTGTGGACCCCATGCCATTATTACACTCACTGTTAAGCCCAAAATACAATAACGTGGCTGGCATTACTGCTCAGTTAAGCCCAAATTCTAAATTCACTGCCACTGCCTTCATCGCAGCAAACTTCGCATGTTGAATTTGACATAAATGAAACGCAGCCAACTTCTGTTGATGTCACTGAACAAAAAAGGCAACAACAAAAATGTAAACAAACAAAAGGGAATGTCAAAAAAGCAGTCACTGACAACGCCGTATTGTGTTTGCTGTGGCATTTACTGCCAATATTAGCAGTAACAGCTGATTTTAGAAACTCTCACTGCCACTGCCACTGCGCTATTGTATTTTGGCCTTTATATTATAGGTTCGCACCAATTTTTAATAACAGTTTTTCAATTTGGCTGCGAGATAGCCGCAGTTTTTCTACTACACCAATATATTATTTGCAAATAACAATTTGCAAAATGGAAAACTTTGCCGTATAAACGCTGAGTTAATTTTTTATTTGCAAATAACTAAATCACGCAAATAAGTATTGATTAGTGGTACTATTTGCAAATAAGCGCAATACGCCGCAATTCTTGGGTTTATTTTCTTTTTCGATGGGCCTTTTAATAATCAAGACCAAGATAATTTTTAACTTTATTTTCTTTTTCGATGGTCATATTATTACCTTTTTATAATCAGGCAATATTAAAAAAGAATTTTTCACCATCAAATAAACAGTGAGGTATTTGCAAATTATTTTTATTTGCAAATAGCTTACGTATAAACGTAGCAGTAGTTGACTTGTTCTTTTATGACACGCCTTTTATTATTTGCGGATTTTCCTCCTCTAATAAATTTAAAATTTCGAATCGAAGCATTTCTTGTGTCAATATTTTATCGAATCACGTGTTAAAGCACTGATTAATTCATTCAGACTGAATAAATCTAACCTATCACTGGTATGATAGCTAAAACTATTTTTAGCAAAATAATGCTGAAATTAGCAAAATTAAAAATGACAAGTGATAAATAAAAATTTTTGGCGCAACGAAATGCTAATAAATTTTGATAATTTGCATAACTTATCACTTATCCGCTAAAATCTTTTCACTTTCAAATTTTGGTGCAACGCTTATCTATGATTTTGTGTGATTTTTTACTTATCAATACTTATTTGAGTGACTTTTGCTTATCATGTTGGTGAAACACAAAACTTTGCGCAAGTTCGATAATTTGCTAAATTGTTCATGATAATTCGTTGGTGCAATAGGGCCCAGTTAAAAATACAACCAGAACGCGACTTACGTGATCCTGTATTTTTGGTTCATGTGAGGAAAAGTGAAGTGGTTATCGAAGTGACGACTTTCGAGCACAATTAGGGGTGTGGGGTTATTTACCACCTGATCGGTTAATCGATTATTTTTTTTTTATCAAAATAAAAGTAATCTTTAACCTTTATTAATTTATAATTCATTGTGTCCCTGTACAAATTTAGTGCGGGAATATCTTTAAAATCACAATGTCTCAAAAGTTGGGGAAAGAAAATAAAAAATTACACTATAAACACTAAAATACCATTAATCAATTATCGATTCACAGCAACAGAGTCCTCACCAGATACACAGCAACAACGTTACCACCAGAAAACTAACATTTAATTGTTATTTTCATCAAATATTTACTAAATAATATGAAACTTTATCCCCCCATTCATTTCTGTGCGCTTTACAACTATACATGTGATAATGAAAATCAAAATGATTTCTCCAAATAGCCGATGCCATATCGGAAATTTTATTTATTAGGCGTCGTTTTAGTAGCGAGAGTGTAAAGCCGATTTTTTGAGCGGGTATTTTTGGTTCATGCCCCTGCAAGGAGCCTGACATATGATTATCGGTTAAATTAGTGGGAAAACTGACTAAAACTTTTCGTCAGTTTAGTGGTTAGTTTTGTATGGGCTTGGGAAAAAAGTGACCACTACTCCGGACGTGTAATAGTACATCCCTTTCTTGCACACACATGGGAACATTTGCCTTACAGTATGTTCACTAGGGTGGTCCAAAAATAGTAAAGTCGGAATTGTAATGCTCTCACCCCCTAGGATTGTTCTATATCGAAAAAAGTATACCCCTATCTTTTTATTTTGAAATAAAAAAATTTTTAGAGGTCGCTCAAAGCGCTCAAAGTTTTCCATGTATTTTTATATAGGAAAAATAAATTTTTTCGTAGAAATGGTATAGTATTCTTGAAAGTCAATATTTTTCGATCGGAAAACCCTGGTTCTCTTCAGGAGACTTTCAATAATAATACCCAATTGTTTATTTAACCATTTTTTAATACTAAGAATTTTTTATTGGTCGCCCCATTGCATTTTTCGGGGTTTTTGTGGGTTTTTGGCGGACCTATAAATTATAGTTGCAATGAAAAAACGGTTAAATAAACATTTGGGTATTATTATTGAGAATCTCCTGCAGATAAACCATTCTATACCATTTCCACGAAAAGTTGTTTTTTGGGCGCTTTGAGCGAACTCTTAATATTTTTTGATTTCAAAATAAAAAAATAAGGGTATATTTTTCCGGTATAGAACAATCCTAGGGGATGAGAGCATAAAAATTCCGACTTTGCTTTTTCACATGCATTTTTGGACCACCCTAATGTTCACTCGCTCACACATGTCATCTAGTTGGTAACGCTGACACACATTGCTTGTCAAAAATCATAAAAATTGAAAGCCATTACGTTGAGAAGCAATTTCATTATCAACATGCCGTCTTCAAGAAAACAATGTAACTAACTAGCTTCTGAAGACCATTTTCCATTTTAATTCCATTGTAGATTAACATTTTAGCATGCATAAGCTTAGTATTTTTTTTATTTTCACCAAATTCGCACGTCAATGCTGAAAAGCTGTTCAAAATTGAAAGCAAAATTGAAACTCAATTGAAAGGGAAAACTTGAAAGCAAGTCACCCATTCCCTGCTAGCATTTATTATCGCGGAAGTGGCGAAAAAGTAACTCCAAGAAGTTAAATTTCATCGCGGAAGTTAACGCTTTCTCATCTTTTTACTATCCTCCTTGGGGGAAAACTGCTCCCCGTAAGAGTTACGTCCACACTGACACACATGCGACACTACAGGAAGTGACTTCTTAGTGTCGTCTGGAAGAGACAAAAGCGGTACACCCAAATATACTCGCATACGACGCTTCCGAAAGTAACTTCTTAGTGTCGTGTGGGAGACACAGAAACGTGACGTAAAAACTACCCCCTTTTTATTTCTAGCTTAATGTAAAAAACTGCAAATATATTTTTTTAATTTTTTTTTAACTTTTATTAACATTAAAAACAACAAAACCAGTTTGTTTAAATTATTCAGTTAAGTATAATTTGTTAACATTATTTCGTTAAGTATAATTTGTTAACATTATTTCGTTAAGTATAGGAGTTAAGGAACTAATTGGAGAGGCGTAAATTGCCGCGTGTATTTTCATTTGAATGTTTCCATTTGAGCACTCTATCCCTGGCGTGTAAGAAATGTTGTTGCACAATTTTATTTATTTGAAAATCTGTCGAATTTTGGAACTTGGAGTGACAAACATCTGAGAAAAATAAAAAAATGAATCTTAGTAAAATATAAGCATTGCTAATTACCAGGGAACGGATTTTTAGGACCTAAAAACCTATAAAAAAGGCAAAATAAAATAACGAAATAGGCTGGAAAAGGCAAAACAAAATAGCGAAAAAGGCAGGAAAAGGCACTAGGTATTGCAAAAAAAGCAAACTAAGGCACTAAAAAAAGACAGAAAATACGAAGAACAATCAAAAAATACATTTATTTTAGAAATGTTTATATTACAAGAAAACGAGAAAAACTATGAACTAGATCCTTTATATGAAACATTTGTACTTTGAACCTTTGACTATTTTATCCTTTCGAGTTTCTAACTCATAAAACTTTAATCTGTATAGTTGTAGTAACATTGAACCACAAGATGCATTTTGAAGTTTTCTGGCAGCAATTTCATTCGATTTTCGCGAAGAAAAGCCTTGATGGTGATGGAAAAAACTGCAAAGTTTTGTATGCTTGGCTTCTCCGATGTCGCACGCCAAGTGAAATTAATCGCCAACTCATAAGACACAATTTGCTTTAGCGCAAAAAATAAATAAATATACATATATGTACATGTAGGGCATAATCATACTTTATTACTAACTTGTAAGCATCTGGAAACTGCTTTTCACAAACGCCACATTTATAAGGTAATCCAGTGTGTTGCATGCGATGATTATAGTATTGATCATAATTTGGAGAATTTGGAACCACAAATCACGCACTTGTAACTGAAATATCCAAGGTACTGCATGTGCCTATTTAAAATACGTTTGTGGATGAAAGATTTTCCACAAAGGTGACACACAAATGGCGATTCTCCAGAATGAGTGCGTAAATGAACATCTAGGTCTATTTGCCGCACATAACGTTTTTGACAAACTTGGCATTCTATCGTAGCTCCCTTGTGATGGAGCTCGTGGATTGTTAGACCATTTTTATGAAGAAATGATTTTTCACACTGAGCACATTGATATATTGGTTTGCGGTTGGTTTCGTGCGTTAGCCTGTGTTTTTTGTATGTATACGGAGTTAAAAAGCTTTGGTTACAGATGTCGCACGGAAATCTTTCCCGATTCTCATTGTGACAGAGCTCATGATTTTTTAGGGCACATGACTCCTTAAATGTTTTTGCTGGCGAAGGTAAATTCAACAAAGATAGAAATTAGTCCACAAGTTAAAAGGAACGGAAATACTTACGGCAGGCCTGACAAAGAAAAGTTTTTGGTTTATGACGTTGCTTATGTTTTTTTAATGAGCTTCTCTTCATTATTTTCCCACATTCTTCACACTTCACCGGCTCAGACATGTCCTTGACTTTCTTTTTTGTTTTCACCTCGGATTTTACTATGTTTGTTTTCTTTACGTTTTTAGGTCTTGTATGAGCAAGATTGAGTTGTTTACTTTTTTTCGATAAGACCAGCCCAGCTTCATTTAAGTTATTGCCGCTCTGCATATCCTTATCCGATTCAACTAGAAGCTTTGTTGTTGTTGTAGTGTCAGTACTAAGTTTTTTATCAATATTTATTTCGTGTTCGATATCATTTGATGCAGATGTTTCATCATCATCCATAAAATGTTCATTCCATTCTGGTGATACTTTTATATCCTCTACGTGATCCTTGTAAACAAATAGAAAATAATTATTGTTTAATTATATCTAAATCGTATTTGATATACCATATCTACAGTATCTGGCATCTTAGTTACTTCCATTAGCTCTTCATGTACTGGAACCCATTCAAAAGTGTTGGCTATACTTTCTATCTTCACTTTTTCCGTTTGTGTGCAACGTAATTCATTATCAGCCCTTCTCGCCTTTTCAATAAAATCATAAACGTCTTTAAGTTTTTGGGCACAATCAAGGCATAGATATTGCATCCGGGCATCATCGAGTTCATTTGGATCATCTTTCAAACTTAAATTAATTTGTGTACTGTTACGATTATCCTTGAAACCTCGTCCGGATTTCCCAAATCTCTCGGTTCGTATCGCTGGATTGTTAAATAAATGCAATCGATGACCAAATTGTAGTACAATTAACTTTATTGTACAACAAACAATTTACAATACTCGCTAATACAGTGAAAACACTTTACAATACTTGTTAAAGCAATAACAATGCTTGACTACTTGTTAACACAATTAAACTTATAGCTTGCTTATTCGCAACTCACTTCTCTGCTCACTTTACTTGTAGCTTGCTGACTTGTAACTCACTCATCTCGCGGTGGCGGCGCTCTTATATACCTGCGCTGGCACTTATGGCAACTCTAGAACATTCTGAAGTTTATCGCTCATTCTCTCTCTCTCGCTGTTCGCAGTGTTCATCCAACTTGACGTTTCTCTTTGTGGAACATTCTACGTCATTCTTCGAACATTCTGCCTATTTCTCGTTGTTCGCTTTGTGTTGCCGCAGTATTCGCCACACTGCCCTCCACCTAAGTCTGATCGTCCCGATCAGACACACTTGCGGTTCCAAATGCTGCAAGCCTTTCCAAGTGGACCACCTTCATCTTGTTTCTTGGTCTCCCAACGGTCTGGATCCGATACAATACGTCATTTAGCCGTTTTACGACCTTATACGGACCTTCCCAGTTGCATTGTAGTTTTGGGGACAAACCTTTCTTTCGTTGTGGATTGTACAGCAACACCAAATCTCCTTCCTGGAAACCCTCGGAATTCATCGCCTTATCATACCTGGCTTTCATCTTGTCACTCATAATTTGTGTGCGCTGTCTCACAAGAGCATGTATCTCTCTCAGCTCCTCTTCCAGGATGTTTGACGTCTCTTTTCCAATCCTTCTAGCATCACCAGTCACCCCAAACTTCAGATCACTAGGCAACCGGAGCTCACTGCCGAATATTACCCTTGCCGGAGTTTTACCCGTTGTTTCATGCACTGCTGACCGGTATCCCATCAGGAACAAGGGTATGCGGACATCCCAATCTTTTTGATTCTTGTCCACGACCTTCCGCAAATGCTCTTCCAGGGTTCGGTTGAACCGTTCCACCATGCCGTCTGATTGGGGATGAAGAGCCGTCGTTCGAGTTTTCCGGATACCCAGTATCTGGCACATCTCTTGGAACACTACCGACTCAAAATTTCTTCCCTGGTCAGAGTGCAGCTCTATAGGTACACCATATCTCGCAACCTAATTGTAGGTGAATACCTCCGCTACTGTTTTAGCTTCCTGGTTTGGAATCGGGTATACCTCCGGCCATTTGCTAAAGTAGTCCATAACCACAAGGACGTATTTGTTTCCCTGTGCGCTCATAGGAAATGGACCGGCTACATCCATGGCAATCCGCTCGAAAGATGCACCTGAGTTATATTGCTTCATCTGGCCATGACTTCTGGATTTCGGCCCCTTAGCTGCAATACACTCCGCGCAGTTAGCAATCCACTCTGCGACCGATTGCCGACAACCAACCCAATAGAACCTCTGCTTAACCTTCTCCAGGGTCTTCGTGATTCCCAGGTGCCCTCCACTAGGACCATTGTGGAATTCCTTGAGTACATCCGGAATTCTTACCCTTGGAACTACTATCAGGTTGCGGGAGCACTGGCCATCTTCGCCTTCTCATACCCTATGCAAACAACCAGATATTAATTTTAAGCTGTTCCATTGTGCCCAGTACGCCTTTGCGATGGGGCTTTCCGCTGCCATTTGCTCCTTAGTTGGCCTCCTGTCCACCTCCAGTCCATGCATCAAAAGCTCCAGATCTGGATCTTCCTGCTGACACTTCCGTAGCTGTTCTTCCTTCCACTCTTCCGCTGCTGTTATTGTCGTTAGACGGACGTCTATAATGTCCTCTTTTCCCTCAGCTTTTGAGCAGTGTTTACATTCCAGGCTACATGGTCGGCGGGACATGGCATCAGCATTACCGTGGACACTTCCCTTGCGGTGCTCAATAGCGAAGTCATAACTTTGCAGTCTCTCAATCCACCGAGCTAGCTGTCCTTCTGGATTCTTAAACTGTAGTAGCCACTTCAGCGCTGCATGGTCCGTTCGAAATCGGAAACGTTGCCCATAGAGGTACTTGTGGAAATGTTTGACGCAGTCCACCAACGCTAGTAGTTCTCTACGAGTTACGCAGTAGTTCCTCTCTGGTTTTCCAATCGACCGGCTATAGTAGGCAACCACCTTCTCCTGCCCATCAATTACCTGCGACAGTACGCCTCCTATGGCATAACCACTAGCATCCGTATCCAAAATAAACGTTGCACCTGGAACGGGATACGCTAGCATAGGTGCAGTACATAGTCGTTCCTTCAGAGTCTGGAAAGCCTCCTCCTGCTCCTTGTTCCACTCGAAGGCTCTATTTTTCCTAGTGAGCTCGTGGAGGCTATTAGCAACGCTGGCGAAATTCGGAACAAATCGGCGGTAGTAGGTGCATAGCCCAAGAAAACTTCGTAGTTCGTGCAGGTTCCTAGGTCTTGGCCAATCCTTTACTGCTTCTATCTTTTCCTTCGCAGTACAGATGCCCTCCGTTGTCACCTTGTGCCCTAAGTAGTTCACCTCCTTCCTGAACAGTGAGCCGTTTTTAGGACTTAGCTTCAGACCAGCGCCAGCTATCCTCTGGAAAACTTCTTCCAAATTGTTCAGGTGTTCCTCAAAGCTTTTACCCAATACGATAATGTCGTCTAGATACACAATGCAGTCCTTTGAGCACATGGTCCATAAGTCGTTCAAAAGTGGCAGGAGCGTTGCATAATCCAAAGGGCATCACCGTGAATTGCCACAGACCGTCTCCAACGCTGAAAGCTGTCTTCTCCTTATCCTCGTCACTTACCTCCACTTGCCAATAACCGCTCTTAAGGTCGAGTGTTGAGAACCACTTTGTTCCAGTCAACGAGTCCAGAGTGTCATCGATCCTGGGAAGAGGATAGCTGTCCTTTTTCGTCACATCGTTTAGTTTCCGGTAGTCTACGCAGAACCGCATTTGACCATCCTTCTTCTTCACAAGTACTACCGGCGAACTCCATGGACTCGCTGATGGTTCAATCACACCACTCTCGCTCATTTCTTTTATTATTTGGCTAACAGTTTCACGTTTGGCAAGTGGAACACTCCGAGGAGCTTGACGGATTGGCCTTGCATCCCCAGTATCAATGCGATGTTTCACAACGTTAGTCCTGCCTGGTTTGTCGCCATCCTTGTCGAATATGTTGCAGTATCTTCAGAGAAGTTCCTTAGCCTTGTGCTGGTATTTTTCTTCCAACCCTTCCGTCCATGCATTAATGTCTTCCGCAATGTCATTCTCGCCAATGGAATCGCTTTCAGGTAACTTTTCGCAGTTGAAGATTGCCTCTACCTCTCGACATTGCCCCAGTACAGTTCCTCTTCGGAGTTTGACTGGTGATTTGAACTCATTGAGCACTCGAACTGGGATGCGTCCATCCTTTTGCGTCTTAGCCAAGGTTTTACCAATAAGTACGTCCGTTGTAGAATTTTGTGTTGCTTCAACAACCCACAATTTGTTTGTTCCACAATCTCCATCAATCTTTGCCCACACAACTGCTTCTGACTTCGGTGGAATCTGCTCGCTTTCCTCTAGGATCGCTCGCTTGCTGCTGTACGGACCATCATACCCAAACCTAAGGGGCACTTCCATGTTGTCGTACGTCATGATCCTGTTCTTCATGTCGATCTTCATACCTTGACCAAATAAAAAGTCTAATCCAATGATGACTTCATCCATAATCGCCGCGACTATGAACTTGTGTAACACCGTCACATTCCCTATTGCGACTTTGCATGTTACCTCTCCTACAACTTGGGTGTCCTCACCAGTTGCTGTCCTCAACCTTGCTCCAGGTAATGGCCTTACCTCTTTAGTGACCAAATCAGATCGAATGATGGAATGTGATGCACCCGTATCCACAGTTAGTACTCGCTCATGTCCGTCCACATATCCACCAACAGTAACGTTGCTTGCTTTTCTGCCAATTCTCGAGACGGAGATTATGGGGCATTCAATTGCGGGAGCCAGCGTGCGCCCCTTGCTGCTGGCTCGTTTTAGTTTAACGACTGGTCGGAGTTGGGCTCGTCATCCTCAGTCCTGCGTTTACGTACTGCTGAACTGTTTGACCTGTTGGAACCCGTCTTACATTCGCGTGCGAAGTGGCCTGGTTTTCCGCAACTAAAACATTTTCTAGCACCATCCTTCCTCTCGGTTGCACCAGGAGTATTCTTCCCTGCCATCGACTTGAGTGTTTTCAGGATCTCGTTCATCACGTCAGGTGTTTCCACTTCTACTCGATGGGCTTTGTAGGCTGGTCTACTTAGGAGCGCTGCCGTTTCACGTGTCTGAGCATACGAGACCGTTTCAGCAAATGTGATTGCATAACGAGTACGGTCGAGTGCAGTTGCAGTCTTTGTTCCTGATAATTAAAATTAAAATATAAAAAGATATTGCACGTATATTGAATGCAAACGTGATATTTCATGCAGTGATATTTCTTTCAAACTCGGAGCAATTGAAGTTTCCAGTGCGAGCCGCGTATTTGGCCAGAAATAACAAAGAAACCAAATATTATCTTACATTTAACATTTTTTATCAACGAGAACAACTATGGCGCCTAGCACAAGAAGGAATAAGAAACAACAACAAAACAAAGCAATTGTAACTAATTCAAGTGAATCGAGTGACGAAGAAACAAGTAGCACTAGCTTAACGACAATAATAGACGAATTACAAAAACAGTTTAAAGTGCAAGACAGAGCTATGAGCAAAATAAAAAGCTCACAGCAGCATATGAGTGATAGTTTCGACTCACTCAAAGCTGAGATAAGTAGACTTGCTGAAGAAAACAAACAAATAAAGAAAGAACTAAATGAGTTAAAAACAAAGAACGCAAATATGAAAACGAGTGTCAAAAAAATGGAAAGAGACATACTGACAATTAAACAGCAGGCAAATAAAAACAATGTAATGATCACAAACTTGCCGAAAATTGCAAA